CTGGAATACAATAAAGGCATTCTTGGGTAATTCAAGGATGACCCGTGTCCCCGTCTCTCTGTCTGTGTGTCAATCTCCAGGCCCTTGCCTGAGACTTGCAAACCATCACAGAATACAGGCGCGTACTGTACCGTAGTGCATAGCGAATACATGAAGAGCAGATGTGGTGTTGTGCTTTACAGGGATGCATGTGGAGGGATTGGGCCCCAGCCTCAACTTGGTATAGAACCTGGGCCCCTGAAGATGGTCAGTTCCAATGATAGTTTCCCAATTGAATAGGTCAGACTAGACGCCAGGTGTTAATATACTCTGGGGTCACTAGAGGGCGATCTAAGCCTCATTGTACTAGGTATAATGAATGCGGTGTTGGCCAGACCTGGGAGGAAGGGGTGGTCAGGAAGGGGTGAATGAGGTGAGGAAATACAAGCCCAGCTGTGGCAGTAGCCTAAGTGAAAAGTTGGTAACATGAAAAGAAGTCTCACTCCCAGGCCCTTGACACCTACCTTACCTTCCCATGCCGTCTCCTGTGATGACCTGGTAGCCGGCTCATTCAACTCCTAGCCCTACTGGAACCTCAGTTTCAGAGATGCAGAGAAGCATTCCACCAGCAGCAAACAATTTTCCCTTCTTCTTTTGACCTCCCTGAGCCTCAGCTTCCTTATCTGATCAATGAGGATAAGTGTATCCTGCAGGGACGCTTCTGTAGAACGAGAATGCCATTGTTTTATATGTGGTGAGCATTCGACTGGTGAGCTTTTATATGGGGATGGGAGACAGCAGAGCCAGAGATCTAGATGAAAGCCAGCAGGATTCTCTCCGCAGCTATGAGGACAAATGGGTGGCTGCACTGAAGGGAGTGTTGACTCAGAGAGGCTTGGGGAACTGATCCCAGAAGTAAAGGCTCAGGCTCAACTGACTTAAATCTATATCGATTCACGTACACGTCCAGAGGTGTGTAAGATTGTAAGGGAATCCAGCCGCTGCCCTTGCTGCTGTGATACTTAGAGCACACACACACACACACACACACACACCCTACAGGCACTGTTCTGATCCCTTAGCTATGGGTTTCTATGTAACAGTGTTTCTCACATGGTGTAGGGAGTTTACATCAAAGGAGTATTGGTGGCCTCCTATCCTGCTTCCTGCCTCTAGCCTGGGAATCAGAAGGTCTGAATCCAGGCTTATGCTGGGAAGTCTTCCTCATCCTTAGAGTGGTATAAGAGACTGACCACCTATTGATTTCCTGTTTTTAGACTTTCTACTGCTATTTCTTGGTGCCGGAGCCTGAACTCTCCTCAGAGTCCCTGCTATGCTGTTGTCTGTCTGTGTTGTCCATGGTGTTAATGACTTTTAATAAGCTGCATACAGCCAACAATCCATCTCAGGGCCCTTTTGAACTTGCATCAGAGACCTTTCAAGGGTTCTAAGCAGAGGTTACAAAAAGGGGTGGCAGCAAGGGTTCCTCAAGGACTGTCATCCGATAGGTGTTAAGTCTCAATGAAACATGGGACAAATGGCTGAGGTGCCTATTGACATCAAATTGGACGCTGACTGTAGACTTTCCTAGAACCTATTACCACCCAATCAAGAGTCCTGGCATCTCAGCATTTCTCATCACCCCCCCCCCATGTCCCCTACCCTAAATCTTTCCAGCCCATGGGCTTGTTTCCCTTCCCTCAGCTTCTCTTTCCTATATAAACTCAACCATTTTTAGCTCCTCTCTGTCCGTTTGTCCCCTCTCCTCTCCCCTCTCTTTCTTGCTCTCCCCCACTCCCTCTCCTTTCGTGGCCTGGTCTGGAACCTTCCAGATGCCTCTGGTGGTGCACTTCTTTTCATCTACAATAAAAACCTCTTCAACCACACCCAGAAGCGATCATATCCTCCTTTTCATTCACCAGGCAGAAGGAAGGAAAGTTTTAGGAGAGATTTTTTTTTTCTTTTTCTTTTGAAGATCTATTTATGTATTTTCTGTATATGAGTGTTCGGTCTGCACGTACTTCTGCACACCAGAAGTGGGCATCAGATTCCATGATAGATGGTTGTGAGACACATGTGGTTGCTGGGAATTGAACTCAGGACCTCTGGAAGAGCAGCAAGTGCTCTTAGTCTCTGAGCCATCTCTCCAGCCCAGTCATTACAAATTTTGCACTTAGTAGAATAACCTGATCACGTTACAAAATTTCACACTTTGCAGAATGTCACAATCAATTTATAAAACAAACATGCAAACAATCCACCAATCTCATGATATTTTCAGTGCTTTTGGGTGGGGTACAGAGTGCACGTGGCAGGTGCTGCAGTTGGACTCCGAGGCAGCTGGCCGGGGATTGACGTGCAGACCTGGGCAGAGGGTTCAGATGCTATCTATGCATTTTCAGAGTCCCACTGAGTGGATGAGAGTGAGGATTTGAGTGTCTGACCCAGGACATCTGGCTAGAAGAAACGACTGGGAAGCAGTGTGTGGTATCACGGACAAGAAGATCGTGGTTACCATATTTTGGGGTACAGCCTGTTCCCCAACAAACTAGGTTTAGCGACACAACTCAATAAAATGATAAATGGAGCCAAATTAATAGTGGAAAGCAGAAGATTCATTCAAAGTGAATAAAAGATCTGTTTTACTTTATGTTTTTGCCTGCATGCATGTATATCACACACATGCCTGTTGGATCCCCAAGAACTGGGGTTACAGGTGTTTAGGGCCACCACGTGGGTGCTGGGAATAGAACTCCCTCCTTCGGCCAGTGATCCTAGTTACTGAGCCATCCCTTCTGCCACCCAGGACAGGGTTTAAATCTTAAAATTCCAAGTCTCTCTTTGAACGTCATCTCACCAGTTGTAAATTTTTCTCCAAGAGAAAAGAGCATCCTCCTTTGGATGTTCCAACCATTTCCTCTTCAAGAAGGGCATTCCTGGAGAAAATAGATTTCTTGGGTCCCATTTTTTAAAAAAAAAGTCTGATAGCCTAAGAGAGAGCACAGCTGTCTCTTTAGGATATATTTATTCCTGCCAGACAGGTCGGTTAGAGGGTCCAGTGGAATATAAAATCAGGGCTGAGCCTGAGCGCCAGCCCTACTAGAGAAAAAGATAACCTAAAAGGAGATAGAGGAGGAGCGACCAGAGGGAGAGGAGACGGGCAGGAGGCTGTAGCTTTCCCAAGAGGGATGTCAGCAGGGTCGGGCGATACCAGCACAAAGCTCTGGGGTGGCTAAGGGAGCAAGAAGTGGTCGAAGTGGATCTGAGCTAACCGGCAGAGCACAGGTCCCGAGTGTGTTTTTCTTTCTTCCTGGATTCCACAGGCTGAAGGCCGGCCGCCAAACAGGAAGGCGGTCTAGAGGTCTTTGTGTGAACTGAGGTCCCATTGGGTGTGGAGTCCCCAACAAAGGCCGAGAAGGAAACGGAGTGTGGGGACCCTCGAGAGCTCCACGCCGCAGCATCCCCACCGGCTTCCAGTGACTGCGTGCGGAGTCCCGGAGTGGCCATCCCAGGAGTGGGCGACCGGACGCGAGTCACAGTCCGTGGG